CTGAAGTGTACCTGGCGTATAAGACGACCCCCCACTTGGAGGCATATTTTTCAGGGCCAAAAAATCGTCTTATACGCCGGCAAATACGGTAGATAAATTCTGAATGGGATGAGCAGGACACTGGTCACAGATGTGTTTTGAGAACAGAGTTTGTCAGCATCCTTGGATTTCAGCACAAATAAAATACTCCAGAATATTGTGAAAAGATATGATTTGAATTTGGGGAAATATTTGGTTGAAACCTTTTCATGATGTACCAGCCCTTTTCTAGCCACTGTAAGCCTGGTGCTACTTTGAGCGCATTGTTGAATCTTTATTTGATAATATAACTCACTTTTTAGCCACTGGTGGCTATCCAGATCTATAATCCAAGTATAAAAAATACTCTTGTGGAAACACCATGTGTGTTTCAATGGGTGAAGCACGCTTTCTAATCACGGACGATCACAAGAGGAAATTTATGGAAATCTAGGAAGGCACAAAGAAATCACCTAGTCAGCATGTATCAAATATCTTGGCCGAAAAATAGTTCTCATAAGGCTAATTATTTATTCACTGAAAAAGCATTTGGCCTCTTCTGTTAAAAGAATTTGTTCCTGGATTATATTTACTTGATAGGTCTCTTTGCCCTGAATTTGTCTCATGCAAAGTTAAATCTGTGTAAAAAGTAAAGAGTTGGTCTGGTGGAATATGAGAATGTGACTGCAACTCGGGTCGCTTCTCAGAATATGCAGTGTGTGTGTGTGTGTGTGTGTGTGTGTGTGTGTGTGTTTCTCTGTGTGTGTGTGTGTGTGTGTGTGTGTGTGTGTAGAATCCCATGTATTTAACTATTTGTTTGAATAGATGATCCATTCACGTGACTCAATATTCTATAGGTGCCCAGGCTGCTGTTCATTAGTCAGAATACACCAGTGGGACACTGGTGGTGCCCATTTTAATTGATCAATGCCAAGAGCCATATTAGTTATTAAATAAGTTCAGTATAATCCCTGTAAGAATATCAAGTGAAAAATCTCTCCCTCTTTTGTGTCCTGGCCCCTTCTTTGTTTTCTGTAATCTTCAATATAGAGGCAGAAGGGCTTTTCAACATTGGTTTATATGCAGTTGTGAAAAGGTGAGTATTTTATTTACTTTGAACAGTGTAGAGCAATGCAAAACTGGCAGAGCTTACCCCAAACCTGTCTCTGGCTTCCCTCAAGCCTTCCTTTGAAGATGCCTTCCTTCTGATCAAATGCTGTCTCCTCCTTTCTTTTCCTGATTTGTCTCCCTGATACACTCTCCACCTCTGATGATCTTTATCCCAACACTTCCATTGTTTCCTTCACAGCACTTACCATAATCTAATTATTTTATTTGTTCCATCTTAGTATCTGTTTTCCCCACTGGGACCAGGATGGATTTGTTCATTGGTGCATCCCCAGTATGTAGCACGGTGCTGGGCTTTTGTTAGAATCTTAATAAACACTGAATGAATGACTGAATGAACAAATGAATGAATTTAGTGTAGGTGTGCCCCTCTCAGGGATGGCTCTGTCTCCACAAGGAATTCCTGAAGATATAAAAACTTCCTTAGAGGAATGAAATTGTAATAGCAGAGGGAAAAAGGCATGGGGCTGATATCTTAGATTGAGACCTTCTTGTGTAACACCTCTTCCAGTTAGCTCCATCTGATCTACCAACCCAGAGGGCTAACAGGGCTCGTTTTGAAGAAGGTAAAAAACCCCTGAAGACAAAGATTACTTCTTTGTCTTACTGTTTGTATGGTTTATGCAGTCGGGGAAATCAATTTGAAGGTGAGCTACACTTGAAGAAATATTTAGTTTCTGAAATTCTAGATTCAGAACAGTGAAGAATGATTGCACAATTCACCACATACCAGACAGTCAAAGACATAGTCCTTAAGAATTGTATGATGACTTTTGGGTTGATTCTCTTTTAAACAAAATTTTATTCTTTAATCCACAGGTCACAGTTTTTTATCCACGTGAACACAAATGGCTTTGTTACGAAAAAGTAAGATGACAATTTTTGAAAACCATGATTAAAAAGAGATTCTGGAGGGCTGTTTGATGCTGGGTCTTGGCCTTTTTTTCTTTTTTCTTTTTAATCACCTTTGATTTTCATGGATAGTTCTCCCATCGGCCATTCTTGGCATCATCATTTCAGGATGATTCCTGTGGAAAGTTGTTAACTATTTTGGTCAGAGGTGGTAGACTTCTCACGAGAGGGGTCATCCATTTCTATAAAACTTGCAAATATTATTATTTTTTTTCATTCTAAATACTCACGTTCCTGTCTAATTTAGCATTTGTAATTTTATATTGTTGTTCTTAAAAACTCACCTAAAATTATATAATCTCAGACCCCATCAAAACCCAGATTTGCCCAATTTTAAATCAAGTAGTTTGTGAATCTGGGGGGAAACATAATCACCTAAATGTGTTACTACTACCCGCAGGGTAGAGTTGCTCAGTGTAGCAGATGAAAAGATAAGCTATCCAGTTAGATTTGAATTTCAGATAGCAAATGAATACTTTTTTAGTAGAAGTATATCGCAAATGTTGCATGGGACATATTTATACTGATTAAAGAAAAGCATTTTACGTGTCAACTCTGCATTAGCAGTAACAGCCATGGTTGAAAGGGTCAGATGGTAGTGACATTGGGCCACTTCCCCAAACTGGCTGTGGCAGGTGAATGTTAATCAGATGTGTTGATAAACTATAGAACTTGGTCCCTTATCTTCTGCTTCTCTATAGTTTTGTTTAAATCGAGTCTAATATGTGGTTGTCTCTGGCTGATTCTGAGAAAGCAGAGGCAGAGGGCAGCTGGATATGTCAGCAAGGTAGAATCACTGGGCCTCAGAATGTAGCTCTGGAAGGCGTCCTTAGAGACTGCCCAACTCTTTGATTTTACAAAGTTTACATATGTAAAAAAAAAAAAAAGCCTGGGGGCCAGAAAATAGATCGGTATGAGGCTAATAAATGTCAAATATCTTGCACACAAAAATAATAATACATAACAATTATAAAATCTTTATTGGGCTTCCATTGCTTTTGTTAAGTCTCAAAATACCCCTGTGAGGTAATAATTATTATCACAATTCCAATTCAGCAGATGAACAAACTGAGGCGCAGAGAGCTTAAGGTACTTGTCCAAGGCCACAACAGCTGGGCAGTAGTAGAAAGGAGATTTGAGTCAGCTCTTTCTCTTCTACCAATGTTTTCCAAACTGCAAGCATTTGTGTACCACATACAGCAATATAGCACCTTCTCAACTTTTCATCATTTGTGTTCCTTTTGTCCTATGCATGATTATTTTCTTTATTTGACTCATTTAAAAAATTATAAGTGTACTTTATAATAGAAAGTTTATATCCTTACTGTAAACAGAAAAACAGTTCTCTCCTGTCATAAAAAGAAGGCAATTGTACAACTATATATGATTAAAACCATGTTATTCAATTTCGCATAGCTTTTGTTGCCTGCCTGCATATGAAATTAGGACTGATTTCTCACAGTGTGATTTAATGTTACTTAATGCTAACATGGACTCATTTCAACTTAATTGCCTCTTTAAAGGCCCTGTATCCAAATACTGTCACATTCTGAGGTTCTAAGAGTTTGGGCTTCAACATATGAATTTTCGGAGTTATAGACAGACAATTTAGTCTATAACAGTAACTAAATTATGCCTCAATAAAACTGAGAAAGGAAGGAAGTCATACAAGATCAAATGTTGTCTAAACACAGACCTCCTAAGTCATTTCTGACATAATCAGTGGCATGTGCTCCATACTTACAAAAACACTGCTCTACACCACTCCACTTCTCAGTAGATCCCAGGGGCGAGTGTCACTGTTCTAGAACAGATACTCCTGGAGGCTTAAAACTGGAAGGGAGATAGAGGTCTCCCAACCTCTTACCCATGGCAAGAATTTTCTGTACGTCATCCTCCACCGATGGTTGAATTACTGAGAAGACGCTGGGTTCTGATGGCTAAGAACTGGCTCCTCATAAGAGTTACATAAATGTTGTAAGTACTGGCTCCTCATAAGAGTTGCATAAATGTTGGCTATTAATTTGAAACAAAGTGTTCTATGCACAGAAAAGGCAGCACTGTGTAGACCTTACAGTTTGTAACCTCTGCTATCAGACCGCCTGGGTTTAGCTGGATCCTCCTTAAATGACACATGTGTATCCTTGAGCATCAACAGTATACCAGGTTAACTCTGCACTCTGCATGCTCTGTGCTTAAAGAAAGGTCCCAGACCACCACTCTTGTATATGTCAGGGGAGGAATCTGCTCACATGGCTGTTCTAAACTTTCCCACAGTTTCAGTTTGACGGGTTAAACTTGAACATGATTCTGTTTTTCTTTCAGTTAATCAGGTGTTGCTGTTCCTTCTGATCGTGACCCTCTGTGGGATTCTGTATAAGAAAGTACATAAGGGGACTGTGCTCAAGAATGAAGCAGGTATGCTAAATGAAAGAAGCCAGTCACAGAAAGACAAATCCTGTGGGATTCCACTTACATGAGGTGCTTAGTCCAAGATCGGAAAAGCAGAAAGCATAATGGTGGTTACCAGGGGCTGGGGGAGGGGAAAATGGAGAATTACTGTTTCATCGGTATAGGGTGTCAATTTTACAAGATGAAAAGAGTTATGGGGCTGGATGGTGGTGATGGTTGTATAACAGTGTGAATGTACTTAATACCACTGAACTGTGCACTTAAAAATGGTTAAGATGGTAAATTTTATGTTATGTGTATTTTACCACACAGTTAAAAATGTATTGTAAAAAAGAATGAAGCAGGTAAGCAGGCATGTAATCCATCAAGATGAGATACTTAGAAACTTGGTTTAAATATGTCCTTTTGAGTCCTTTCAATAGTTGAGTTCAGAGACAAGCAACAATTTGGTTCCCTCCCCAGAACCTGTTTAAAGACTATCCCCTCAAGGTCACTTTCTCAGTTGTGTTTTAGAATATCAGTATTCTTCCAACTTTAGCACCCAAAAGGATCACATGGATGGCTTATTAAAACACAGTATTGGGTCCCACATGGGAGGTTTTGAATCAGTAGACTTAGGGTGGGGCCTGAGAACCTGCATTTCCATTAAGCTCCCAGTTGATGCTGATTACTGTTGGTTCTTGGACCATGTTCTGAGAGGCCTGCGTCCATCCCTTTGGAGTCTCTCAATAATTTTGCTGGTGAAAATTGCCCCCTGTCTCTCCTCCCTGCTGGTTCATTCTCATTAGCGCACAAACAGCCTCGTAACTGTCAACCTAAAAAAGATCCTGCGTTGGCCCTTTAGCGTCTTCCAGCTGCACTGAGGAGACCGATTTCCATCCTCAGGGGTGAACTGTGAGATGACACCTTCGTAACTGCAAAACACACAAAGTCAACCCACACAAAAATGAAGAAGCCCTGGTCGCGTATTTATTATATTTTAAATTAATTTACTTTTTATATTAGTTCAGCAAATATACTTATTTATGGAAAATAGTGAAGAGAAAAATATTACCTGTAGCTGTAACCAGCCAAAGACAGACAAATGCAGTTAATATTTTGGTGTTTTACACACATCCATTCCACACTTTTTTTTTTTAAAGCCAGTTGCTGAGGCACCAGACACACATCAGTGAACAAAATCATGTTCCTGCTTTCACAAAGTTGACTTTTTTTTAATATAAAAATTCATAAAAACAATTAAAAATATCTATAATCTTGTCTAAATAATCTGGAAATAAAATGATTTCCACACAAAGACACGTATGCAAGTGTTTATAGGGCATTATTCATAGGAACCCCCAACTGGAAGCAACCCACATGTACATCAACTAGTGGATAGATAAAAAAAAAAAAGTAGTATATTCATACAATAGAATACTTTTCAACAATAAAAAAGAACAAACGACTGATGTGCTTTGATATGGGTGAACTTCATAAACATTAGGCTAAATGAAAGAAGCTGAACACAAACGACCACATATTGCATGATTCTGTTTAGACATACTTTCTAGAAAAAGGCAAATCTGTGGAGACAGAAAGCAGATTAGTGGTTGCCTGATGCCAGGAGTGGGAGTGAGTTGACGGCAGACTGCCTCAAGGGAACTCTTTGGGGTGATGAAAATGTTCTAAAATTGGATTGTGGTGATAGTTGTACAACTCAATGAAGTTTCAAAAAAAATCATTAACTGTAGATTTGCAATAACTAAATGCAAAGACATCTGTATTGTTTGTTAGGGCTGCTATAACAAAGTACCACAGACTAGGTGGATCCAACAACAGATATTTATTTTCTCACAGTTTTAGAGACTGGAAATCCAAAATCAAGGTGCCCGCAGTGTTCGTGTCTTCTGAGGCCTCTCTGCTTGACTGGCAGATGGCTGCCTTCTTCAGTGTTAAAATAAAAAAGACTCAGTGTTATGAAAAACCATTCAACAGAGCATAGTGTTGACATGGAAAGATGCCCACGGTATGTTGAGTGGAAAAAGAAAGTTGCCGAAGACTATGAAAAGTATGATGTCATTTTGGTTTTAAAATAATATACATTTGTATTATCAGTATTTTGTATCATAGCCAAGACTCAAAAGAATGATCAATTATTGATCTAGTTAGTACATTAATCATGCTTTTCATTGACCTTTTTTTTAAAAAAGATTTTTATTGGGGAATTCGGGGGATGGGAACAGTGCTGGGGAATTGGGTGAAGGGAAACAGACAAGTTGCTGTCCTTTTGTTCTTCAATCTAGTTGTGGAGGACGTTGCTTCACTGGCCCAAGTTGGCACCATCATTGCGCTCT